TGTTTGCCAGGAACAAGCTGCCCCATGGGCGAGGGTGTTGACACAGCAGCTCCAGGGAGGGTTTGSTCCTGTAGCTCAGCTCAAGGAGCAAAGAGGCTCTTGTTCTCCACACCCTGGGATGTTGGTCCCCACAAGGTCTCAGCACCCAGTGAAGGAGGTGCTCCAACTACAGCAGAGTCCCAAGGGCCCTTTTTTGGGCCCTTTTTTGCAACTTGAAGAACTTTATTGCAGAAATCTCTGCAGTTCAAATTGGGAAATGTTGGTTTCTATCGCTCGTCTCCTTCTGCATCTCCCTGTGAGGGTGAGAGGCTCTGGCACAGGGTACCCGGAGCAGCTGTGGCTGCCCCTGGACCCCTGGAAGTGTCCAAGGCCAGGCTGGACAGGGCCTGGAGCACCCTGGGATGGTGGAAGGTGTCCCTGCCCATGGCAGGGGGTGAAACAAGATGAATTTTAAGGTCCTTCCAACCCAAACCTTTCCTAAATTCTGTGTTTTTAACCAAATAAATCTATCTGTAACTGCCTGTAGCTYCAGCAAAGGGCAGCCCCTGCCAGCACAGAGCCTGCTCAATATGCAGCTCAGCAGAGCCTTTAACATTTCACAGAACAGATGCCCACTGAGCATCTTGAAACAAATCCAAAGGTAGCRGTGACGGCTGCTGTCAGGGAAGCAAAGATCCCACGGCCTCAGCAGCCGCAGCTCTGGCGTCGGCCACGTGCCACAAAGTTCTGCTGGTGACAGATCTGTGTGGAGTGGCCCAGGCAGGCTGGGGAGGAGATGGGGGCGTCAGGGGCCGTCATCTCAGCAGCAAAGGTTTCCTTTCTGGTGCAGCTGGCTGAGGGGAGGGAATGATGGCTGTGGTTCTGTGGTTCCCTGCTGGATGGGGCAGGAAAAGCTGGAGCAGCTGGGAGGGATGGAGGGATGGAGGGATGGATGGATGGATGGATGGATGGATGGATGGATGGATGGATGGATGGATGGATGGATGGATGGACAGGGATGGATGGATGGATGGATGGATGGATGGACGGACAGGGATGGATGGATGGATGGATGGATGGAGGGATGGGTGGATGGATGGATGGATGGATGGATGGATGGATGGATGGATGGATGGATGGATGGATGGACAGGGATGGATGGATGGATGGATGGATGGATGGATGGATGGATGG